TATCTACCTTTGGTCTTTGATGATGGTGACCTACAGATGGTGTTTTGGTGTGGATGTCCTTTCTGTTTGTTAGTTTTCTTTCTAACATTCAGGACCTTAAGCTGCAGGTCTCTTGGAGTTTGCTGGAGGTTCACTCCAGACCATGTTTGCCTGGGTATCAGCAGTGGAGGCTGCAGAAGAGTGAATATTGCTGAACAGTAAATGTTGCTGCCTGATTGTTCCTCTGGAAGCTTCGTCTCAGAGGAGCACCCGGCCATGTGGGGTGTGAGGTGTCAGTCTGCCCCTGGGGGGAGTGTCTCCCAGTTAGGCTACTTGGGGGTCACGGACCCACTTGAGCAGGCAGTCTGTCCATTCTCAGATCTCATACGCTGTGCTGGGAGAACCACTACTCTCTTCAAAGCTATCAGATGGGGACATTTAAATCTGCAGAGGTTTCTGCTGCCTTTTGTTTGGCTATGCCCTGTCCCCAGAGGTGGAGTCTACAGAGAAGGGAAGCCCTCCTTGAGCTGCAGTGGACTCCACCCAGTTAGAGTTTCCCTGCTGCTTTGTTTACCTACTCAAGCCTCAGCAATGGTGGGTGCCCCTCCCCCAGCCTCGCTGCTGCCTTGCAGTTAGATCTCAGACTGCTGTGCTAGCAATGAGGGAGGCTCTATGGGCATGGGACCCTCTGAGTCAGGTGTGGGATGTAATCTCCTGGTGTGCCATTTGCTATGACCCTTGGTAAAGTGCAGTGTTAGGGTGGGAGTGACCCTATTTTCCAGGTGTTGTGTGTCTCAGTTTCCCTTGGCTAGGAAAGGGAATTCCCTTCCCCCTTGAGCTTCCCGGGTGAGGCAATGGCTCACCCTCCTTTGGCTCTCACTCGGTGGGCTGCACTCACTGTCCTGAACCCACTGTTTAACATGCCCCAGTGAGATGAACCCGGCACCCCAGTTGGAAATGCAGAAATCACCCATCTTCTGTGTTGCTCACACTGGGAGCTGGAGGCTGGAGCTCTTCCTAATCCAATTTGTCTATTTTTTGTTGTTGTTGTCTGTGTCTTTGGGGTCATAGCCAGTAAATCCCAGACAAATCCAATGTAATGAAGCTTTTGCCCTATGTTTTCTTCTAAGAGTTCTATAGACTCAGTTTTCATTTTAGGTAATGAATCACTTTTGAGTTTGTTTTTGCAAATAATGTTAGATACGGGTCCAACTGCATTAGTTTGTATGTAGAATTATCATGGCACCCATCTTAAAAATTATTTGACCAATTAAGTGAATGTTTATTTTTGGGATTCTCTATTAAATTACATTGGCCTGTATTTCTGTTTTTATGCTAGTACTACTCTGTTTTGAGTACTATAGCTTTGTAGTAAGTTTGAAATCAGGAAGTACAAGTTCTCCAGCTTTGTTATTTACTTTTCTTTTTGGCTATCTGGGGTCCCTTGAAATTTTAAGGATAAGTTTTATAATAAGTTTTATTAAAAAAAAAATATTTCTACAAATAACATCATTGGGATTTTAATAGAAATTGCAATAAATCTGTAGATTGCTTGGGAGAGTATTAACATTTTAACAATATTAAGTCTTCCCATCCATGAACATGGGATATATTTCAAATTAGTTATATTTAATTTATTTCAAAAATGTTTGGTAGTTTTCATTATACAAGTCTTTGATCTCCCTGGTTAAGTTAATTCTTGAGTATTTTATTCTTTTTGATGTTATTGTAAATTAAATTGTTTTCTTAATAGTTGTAACTCATTCATTTTCAATCTATGAAAATGCAAATGATTTTGTGTGCTGATTTCTTATTCTGATACTTTGCAAAATTTCTTAGTTCCAACATTTGTGTACATGTGTGCAAACAAGAAACATGTGTGTATGGAGTCATTAAAGTTTTCTATATGCAAACTCATATCACCTCTAAACAGAGATAACTTTACTTCTTCCTTTTCAAATTGGATCTTTCTCTCTCTCTCTCTCTCTCTCTTTCTCTTTCTCTCTTTCTTTTTTTGCCTAATAGCTCTGGTGAGGACCTCTGATACTATGTTGAATATAAATGGTAAAAGTAGACACCTTGGTCTGAATCTTCAAAAAAATTAGAATCTAAAAAGTATAGTTTTATCTGTACCCTGATAGCTAAAAAAAAATAATTACATGAGATATGCAAGTTATACAGATTTTTCAACTATCATTAACAAAGTAAACTTAGAAAAGGAAAGTCAAATCAAACTTTCTCCATATTGTCTACAAATAAGCTCACAATGACCAACAGAATGTTACTCCCTATCTCCCTCATGCCCATTTTGAGGTGGTAGAAAAAGCAAATTCTCATAAAATTTTCAAACTCATCCTGGCAATTTGTTTCACACAAATTGCTTGTCACCATTTTGATTTAAATAAATTCCATCCATCTGTCTGTGTTTATCAAATATCTGTTTTAAACCACATGATTCTTAAGTTTAAAAGATTAATTTTACTGTAATTACTAAATATTTAGATAAGAAAAGTGCTATGAAGACATGAGAATATTATTTTTATATAATCACTTTTTTTCTTCAGGATCCCACTGTGTATGCCTACATATAAGTATATCCCTAAAGTTATATAAATGATGAAATTAACTGAATAAACTTTTGTTTGAAATCTAAATGCTTTATACACTACTGATATTCTCATTACAAACTTTAGAAATGAACACAAACTTTACTCAAAAAATCAGATTTTTTTTTTTTTTTTTTTTTTTTTTTTTTTTTGAGACAGAGTCTCGCTCTGTTGCCCGGGCTGGAGTGCAGTGGCTCAATCTGGGCTCACTGCAAGCTCCCCCTCCCAGGTTCATGCCATTCTCCTGCCTCACTCTCCCGAGTAGCTGGGACTACAAAAAAATCAGAATTTTAAAGGGAAATGAAACCTGAGTGATTATAAGAATGTTAGAATGAGGACCTAGAAATGCTAAGTGTCCTGTTCAAGGAGAATTAAAATATACAAATGAATTACTGAACAATGAACTAGAGAGAACAAAACTGCTAATTTTAACCAGAACTTATTTTGGTTTTAAGTAGGCAAAAATATTATTAGTAGATTGTGACTACTTTCCTTTCATCTGTTTCCTTGTCTAAGAAATTTTAAGGACAGACTTAAAATGTTCTAGCTAATATTACTGCCATTAGTTTCTGATCTATAATGTGACATATTTCAAAGTTATGTATTATCCTTTCATTTTTTCCTATTCTAATGGTTGACCTGAATGTTGTTTCTTAATTTCACTTCACTGTAATTATACCTCTTACTCTATGCCAAATAATTTCTCCTTCTCCTCCTTAGAATATTTTCTCTCACTTATTGCCTAGCTGAGTTACCCTCTAAACTTTCATCATAAGTCAAGTTCTTCAATTACTTCCTCTAGAAACTCTCACTGACTTCTTTATACATCTGACACAGACATACTATAATAATTTAGGACAGGCTGGGTGCAGCGGCTCATGCCTGTAACCCCAGCACTTTGGGAGGCCAAGGGGGTTGGATCATCTTAGGTCAGGAGTTCGAGACCAGCCTGGCCAACGTGGTGAAACCCTGTTTCTACTAAAAATACAAAAGTTAGCCAGGCGTGGTGGCACCTGCCTATAACACCAGCTACTTGGGAGGCTGAGGCAGGAGAATCCCTTGAACCCGGCAGGCAGAGGTTGCAGTGAGCCAAGATGTCTCCATCGCTCTCCAGCCTGAGCAACAAGAGTGAAACTTCATCTCAAAAAAAAAATAATAATAATAATTAGGTGCATTGCCTATGTAAAAATCAACCATAGGTTTTATTTACTTTTCTATCATATTAGTACCTGCTATTATCCTCACTGTTTCCTAAAACTGTTCTATATATTTTATTATATGTATATTTATATGTTTATTTATGTAATGTATCAAAAATGTTAAATAGCTTACTATGGACAGATTGCAATTACCAAATTTAATTATTTCTATTTATCTTACTTTTAATTAAGATGAGAAAACTATTCAGGTATCAATTTTATATTTTTATTGTAATAAAATCTCAGAAATCCTCCTAAAATAAATGTGAAGAGTGCATTATTGTATACTTTCAGCCAATGTATTATATAGATTAAAGAAATCATTTCAAGGAACCAGGAGATATGCTGATATTTAAATTGAGTGAGCCTTGCTTATCAATCTGTAATGGGTTTGAAATTATTTCTAGACAATAGCACTGAGTTGACACATAAAAACCTGATTAAAAAAAAAAAAGCACCTAACACATGGCGTAGAAATGGTGAAAATAATTATTAACAAAAGTAATATTACAATGCATAGAAAGCGGGATGCTAGTGGTTGTGGATGAGATAGTTCAAATAATACAGACAAGTGATTTTAAAGCAGTTCAGAGTGTCTAACAATTTTTTTTTTTTTTTTTTTTTTTTTTTTTTTTTTTTTTTTTACTTTTAAAAGTGAGTTTTAGGTCCAAAGGAAATAGAATTTATCTTCTTTGGAATTATAAGCCCATTTAAATTACTTAGATAACCAAAAATTACTTAGGATTCTTACTGCTACTTACAAATGCCTGTGGAATCAAGCAAATTACTTTCCTAAGTGCTTAAAGATATTTATCCACAAAATTCACTCTTCCTCCCTGACCCGTAAAAAAATGATGCTAAGTGAAACAGGTTCCAACATAATAAACTGCCAGAACACATTTCATGGTGCAATGCAAATGACAGACACAATGCAATACCTGTTAGAATAAAGTAGATTTCATTTTTCCCTACAAGTTAGGTGAGAATGCTGATCTCAAGTATCTGCTCTGTCAAGTCAAAGGTTGCAGCACATTAACAAATTCAGAGTACAGGTGCATGTATAAATAGCCTGTTGAAGAAAAGAGCACCACTTCTAGTAATTATAAGAAGTTGCTCCAGGTGAAAAACATTAATTCATGTATGTAATACATTGTTTAAGACTCTCTCAGTTGCCTTAATACTATTTTTAAAACGATTTCCCACGGAGCATACTCACCCCATCTGGCCTGCCGTCTGAAGCTGTGATGATCAGAATGTAGCGATCAGTGCTTTCCCTGTCCAGTGCTTTCCCTAAGGTTAGAATCCCCGTGCTAGTGACAAAACAAACAAACAAATAAGACAAAAAGAGATATTATGTCACAAGGAGAGTCTTCTTAGTATAGCGAATAACTCTTGATAGTTTTTTTTCCCCTCTCAGTAATCATAGCTTGAGTATTTTAGATATATAATACTAAGATTCATCCTGAAAATTCAAAATGGCTTTTAAGGCTGTCAAATTTCTTAGCAGTAGCCATGAAACTGACACTAAACTGATTTCCTACCTTCCGGGAAACAAAACACACAAAACTGTGCTTAATTCATTCCAGGAAGAACAGTATCTATCTTGTTTTTGATTATTTCAAGAGAAAAGACTTCATTATTCCTTATCAGTCTCAGAATTCTTTGAGACAAGGAATGATTTCTTATAACCAATCTATATCACCTCCCAATTTACGTCATATATACGTCTACTATGAAAATGCAAAAACCCATCTAAATTTTATCTCTGACAAACTCTATGGAAAAAAGTTTTTCTTTTTTCTTAATTTTAAAATAACAGAGGCCCTTTGTACAAAATTAGAAAATAGAAGTTTTTAAATTGCAGAAATTATGTTTTATGTAATGTTTCTTTTTGTACTTTATTATAACCACATTTAAATATATTATTGTTTCAGAAGAAGAATCACTCTGCATATTTTACAGTTTTTAAGAAAAGTATATTAGATTTCATGTTCTCATTTTATAATTTGTTTAAAACCCCTTTTGTGGCTAAACTAACAATTTTAGTACTTTGTTACTCTTTGGAAATTTAGCTGTTTCTTAATTTAACTGATGTATAATGAGAGATTAACAGCACTTGGGAAAATTATTGCACTTAGAATATTTTTAATGCTTATTCCTTACCTTTTCACTGTTCAGAAAAAATGTTCCCAAATATTTAAGACTTTATTCACCCATGTAATTTATAACAGTTTGGCTATTTGTATGGCTCTCTAATGTAGGTTCTATATTTATTTCTTTGATTTTACAATCTGATATTGTACACATTTTAATTGAGCCTAACAAGCATCCACTGTGTAGGAGAGTTTATCTGAATATAATGAGACATTAAAATATTTATCAAGTCCAGCCAGGCGCAGCTGCTCACGCCTGTAATCCCAGCACTTTGGAAGGCCAAGGTGGGTGGATCATGAGGTCAGGAGATTGAGACCAAACTGGCTAACACAGTGAAACCCCATCTCTATTAAAAATAAAAAAATAAAAAAAAAAATAGCTGGGCGTGGTGGCGGGCGCCTGTAGTTCCAACTACTCAGTAGGCTGAGACAGCAGAATGGCGTGAACCCGGGAGGCAGAGCTTGCAGTGAGCCAAGATCATGCCACTGCACTCCAGCTTGGGCGACTGAGTGAGACTCCATCTCAAAAAAAAAAAAAAAAAATTATCAACTCCAAAATATAAATTGTTTCTGATGAATAAGTGTTTTTAAGGTAAGTGCTTTTATTGTAAAGGAAATTTAAACAATTCATATCACATATGGTAGTTGAGTACAGTCAAAGCCAATGAATCAAAATAAGAATCACAGTTACTCCATCTGTTTATGATGTTGTGATGGTTGACATGGATTTTTTGAAAAGTTCTGGACATATGGCATGCCCATGAAAAACAGTTTTTTTTTCTTGCTTCCTGTACATTTTATAAATGCTTTGTCAAAATAATTGAAAACCAGTTCCCAGAGCATGTTCACAACAATTAAGTTTGGACCAGCTTCCTACACTATAGAGGGTCCAGATAATCCCATTTTTAAATGACATTAGATGAGAAAAGTAAGACACATATTTCTTCTGAGGCTTATTCACAAGTATCTTAAGAAACAGGAAATCTGAAAACCTAGCCATAGTATAAGAGAAAGAAAGAAAATTGAGTTACCATTTTCATTTTGTTTCTTTTCTCAGTTCATTCTCTATATTCCTCATTGTACATTAAATTAGAAAATTACTAAAAAGTATATTGCATATTTACGATGAATTACAAAACTGTCTGTGATAACTGAGTTGATTTACCACCTTCCAGGAAACAAAACATAACAAAACTTTGCTTAATTCATTCCAGGACGAATGATATATATCTTGTTTTTGATTATTTCAAGAGAAAAGATCCATTATTCCTTAGCATATTCAGAATTCTTTGAGACAAGGAATGGTTTCTCATAAATAATCTATATTGTCTCCCAATTGTACATAGTATTTGGAAAATATATATATATATACACACACACACATATTCTCTATATATATTCTATATATACTATTTAGAATATATAATACTATATGTATTATTCTAAAAATACTATATGCTGTGTACAATATAGTATACAGTATATCCATACTTAGGGCCATTTTGAACACAAACAGCTAATTGTGTATTATCTGGTGATTATTATGGAGGTAGTTTTTATGTAATATGCAGGCCTTATGATTCAATGTTGTAGGCAGTTATGTGGTATATTTGGGCAATGCAGAAGGGGAGAAAAACAAGCAGTGCATTTTGGGACTCATAGCTGAAATACTAGTTTGTGGGTGTACATGTGCATCTTTTTATTAAATCCGAGAAATAGCCCACAAAACGTCTTATTACTAGCTAGATGGAGGCTATCAGGCCAGGATACATTGGGGTACATTTAGTAATGCAATATACCTTATAAGTTTACATATTAAAAATATATAAGCTTCTTCAAAGCATCAATACCACTGCTACTTAAATTATATAGGATTGAAAATACATTTCCCAGGAGTGATGTCAGCAGAAATGGAGAAGACAGCTCCAAGAGATCAAAAAATCACATCAAAAAAATCTCAATTAAGCGGGGACCTTAAAAAGCAAATTTGACAAAACTCTGGAAAACAGTCACAGGTTTATAGCAACTGGATGAAGGTAGAATTTCTTTTAAAAAAAGGTAGATCAAATATGGTAGAATAACTTTGGGGCATTTTGACTTGCCTTTATCCTACCATCTCACTGGCTCAGAGTGGCCTTGAAAACATCAGTGAACATTCCCAGTGTGACACCATGGTCTTTGTTTCTGGAGGGAGCAGAGCTATCCTTATTCACAAAGAATGTGGGGTCTATTCTAATCTGTCTGGAGACTGCATGAAGGAGTTACACATGGTACTTATCCTGGTTTCATCAAACTTGGAAATCACTCAAGGCAGAAAAGCAGTGGGCATTCCAAAGAAACATTGTAGGCAGGGGATAGCCCACAACCACCTGAGGCATACAATAGAGTGCCAAAAATTTGCCAGGAAAGTCTGGGTAAATAGTTGCATGGAAAAGTCAGGCACTCAAAAGTGTACTGAGGAATACAGAACAATAAATATAATTGAGAATTCATAAATACACCCATACATCTACAGTCAATTGATTTTCAACAAGAATGTCAAGATCATTCAATAAGAAAGAATAGTCTTGTCAACAAGTGGCACTGGAACAAATGGAAATCTATATGCAAAAGAATTAAGTTAGACTACTTCACTTCATACACAACTATTAACTCAAAATGGATCAATGATTTTTCTAAACACAAGAATTGAAACCTGTAAACAACTCTTAGATAAAAACTAGAGGTAGATATTTATCATCTTGGGTTTGGCCATGGGTTCTTAGATATGACACCAGATGCACAGGAAGCAGAGGAAAAAATAGAGATACTGAACTTTGTCAAAATAAAAAAAAAATAAAAACAAAACAAAACAAAACAAAAAAAAACTTTTGTGCATTAAGGAACATTATCGAGAAAGTTAAAACACACACACACATATAACTGGTGAAAGTACTTACAAATCACATATCTGGTAAGAGTCTTATTTCCAGAATATATAAAGGATTACACAAGTTAACATCAAAAAGAAATCCCATTTTAAAAAAAGGCAAAAGACTCAAATACACGTTTTTTCCAAGGAAGATATAGAAGATACACAAACAATCAAAAAGCATATGAAAATATGTCATTTTATGCAAGTGAAAACCCACAATGATGTATCACTTCACACTCACTATGATAATTATATTTTTTAAAAAGAAACAAACCCCCACTACTAACAACAACAAAAAAAGAAAATAAGTGTTGGCAAAAATGTGAATAAATCGGAATCCTCATATATTTCTGATGGGAATATAAAATGCTTCAATCACTGTGGAAAACACTTGACAGTTCCTCAAATGGTTAAAAACACATAATTACACTATTCCCCAGCATATCTCTTGGGTGTATACTTTAAAAAGCTGAACACAGGTACTTAAATACATGTATGTATATGTTCACAGCAGCAGTATTTGCAATACCAAAAGGTAGAAAAACAGCTTAAATGTCTGTCAATTTATGAATAGGTAAACAAATTGTTGTATATGCATGCAATGAAATATTATGTAGCCATGAAAAGTAGTGACCTACTTACACATGTTGCAACACAGATGAATCTTGGAAATATTATGCTACAAAAAAGAAGCTAGATGCAAATAGTCACACATTGTATGATTCCATTTGTGTAGAATATCCAAAGTAGGTACCTTGAAGCCAGCACACAGATTGGTGGTTGCCAGGGGCTAAGGGAAATAAGGAATAGGGAGTAACTGCTAAATGGATTCAGATTTCTACTTGGAGTGATGAAACTGTTTTAGAACTAGACAGAGTTGGTAGTTGCATGAGTTCTGAATCTCCTAAACAGCACTGAATTGTTCACTTCAAAATGGTTAATTTTATGCTATGTGAATTTTGCCTCAATTATATAAATTATATTGAAGAGAATTTTCCATCACTAAGCTTTTGGGCTATGTTCCTGAAACATATTTTGTTTGGCATACTCAAATTCTTTTAGAAAATAGGGTTTGCCTAACCATAAAAATAGTGTTCAAAAATAATTTGAAAATTTGGCCAGACACGGGGGCTCACGCTAGTAATTCCAGCACTTTGGGTAGCTGAGGTGAGCAGATCACAAGGTCAGGAGATGGAGAGCATCCCGGCTAACACAGTGAAACTCCATCTCTTTTTGTTTTTTT